CATCTCTTGTCGCCTGGGAGCCGGTTGTTTTCTTTTCTCGGGTCTTCTCGAACGGTTATGCACGCGATAAGCACGCGAGTAACTGGGGCGGATCGGGTTAGGTTTTCCTGCCCGTTACTGCTTGGGTTCTTGAATTAGGAATTTTTCGACCTTTTCTTTTGGTTAATTGCGGATAGGCCCCTTTCAGTTTTAATGTTGCGGACAAAGCTCTGAGTAAAATTTGTTTAACTCTTTTATCTACGGGAAATCTATTTGTCAAGAAGAATTGTTGTTTCTAGGTTTAAAATATAATAATAATAATTTCTCGGTGGTCTATTTGTGACAATAGAACTACATGGTTGAATACTTAATTGGACGAAAGCGCAGAGCACCTATTTGCTATAACCTCTTTTGGTTCAATTTACCGTCTATTTTTCAACTGTGCTGAAGAGTTCATTTCTTTTTTCTTTTTTTAGAAAGAGTTCATATCATCTAATATTAATCACTATCGTAAAAAGCTTATTTTTCGCCTACTCTTTGTATAACTTTATGTAGTGAAAAGTTCAAAAAAAAACATGATCTAGAATCAACTTTAATAGAAAATGTTTATAGAAAAAAAACTCTAGATAAAAGGGAATGTGAAGGGAAAAGTGTTCTCTCTCAATGATAATAAAACCACAATAATCGATTTCTTTTTTTTTCAATACAAAGGGAAGAATAAAATCACAATTATTGGCTTCCTTTTCCTCTTCATAGCTCTCAAAGCTCCATATGTACTTCATTTACTCCCCGATAAAGTATATAGTGGAGATAGTTTATGACATTTAATGTGCACAAAAAAAGTATTAACTATTAGATCTGTACATAAATATCAATATTCAATGATCTAACAGCTAACATCTATTCCGTATACGTTTAATATCACGCACCGAAATCATTTGATATTTTCCCATACTCTCCTATCAATAAAAGCTAGTGTGCACCTTATGCAACCCCTATTTTTTTAAGCATTGTATTTTTGAACTTGCCTCTCTTTACTTAAAAATATATTCACATCTACTCCTCTATACTCATATTCACTCCTCTATACTTAAAAGAAGGATCTAAATTTTTATACATTTAATTTGTTTTCTTACTTATGATATAGTAAAATACTGTAGCATAAATAGCAACTGTAAGTATGGAGGAGCAAATTCAATTTATTGTTTATGCTATAGTAAAATACTGTAGAGTGCAGAGGTCTACATTTGGTTCGTTGTTTATGCTACAATATTTTCTATAGCATTTACTGCGGTATAAACCGTACTCTTTGGACTCTCCTTTAAACATAGAGGAGTAGATTGGAGATTCAATTGGTTGGTCAAGTTTTCCCAAAGACTCAGGCGAGACTCGCTAGTTATTTCAATTCTCATCAAGATCAATAGCCTGACAGACAGTGGCGTAGCCAGGATTTTTTGTCCTGGGCGAAAAATAAAGGTAGTCTACAAATATGTCGTGAATCAAACTCCTCTATCATTTCTTCTGTGTCGAGGCTGGAAGTAATTTCTTTTTCAATATAAAGTATCATGTTATTAGCAAGCAATTCATCTCCCATCTTGTTGCGCAATGATGTTTTTATGAGTTTCATTGTCGAAAATGCTTTTTCCGTGCTTGCAATCGAAATAAGAAGAGTCAACACGAGCCGAATCAAGTTCTTTTATAATGTACAGTGCTGGTTCTGAAATACTAATTAATTTCTTTTCATTTTGCTTAAGCAACTTAGCGCAATTGCTCATAAGGGGTTAATAACCGTCATCACAAGTGTTTACTTTTGAATGATCCCTCCACACAAGGTGCAATTCTTGTCCTGGGCAGCTGCCCAGGACAAATCCTTACTGGCTACGCCTCTGTGACAGAGACACATCAAATCCTCCCGTACCGGATTCCATCGTTTGGACCTAAAATTATTTCCATAAAAAGAGATTTCTAGCGGGCACTGTCACGTTCTCGCTTGCCCCTCGGTGAAGTTCACGTATGGACAACATTCGAAGTTGAGTTGGCGAAGTCCGAACGAATTTCTTGTGAGTATTTCTCTCTATTAGAACATCGGGCAGTACAACACGCAATGAGTTAAGAAATAGTAAAAAAAAAAAAAAATTAATTAAGAAGCATACTCATTACTCAACCTCATCCAATTGTCACACCTAGATACATGCATGTGCCTCATATTAAAATGTTATTATCATTATTAAGCGTACGTTACTGATCAAATCATCCGCATGAAAAATCTTAACAGATTCATGGTATCAGATCCAAGCGTGCAAGGCTACGGGTGGATTATGAGCAGTGTTAATCTTATAATTTATGACCATTGTAATGGATTATGAGTAGTCTTAGTAATATTATGATTTAGGGGGTTTCTCTGTCTCCCATAGAAATCATTTTTAAAATATGGTCATCTCATATAAATCACATTTAATTTTTAATTTATATATAAATTATTTTAAAATGGTTTTTCTGTTGCAATCAACCATCTAGGTCTACTTTGCAATTAATTTTTTAAAAAAATGATAACACTTAACCACATTCATCCCTTGACATGTTTGGTATTTGTCAACTAATTGTTATAGCAAAAATGAAAACTCTTAACCTAAAAGTAAGTTTAGGTGATTGGTTACAATAAAAAGTTATTTAAAGATATTATATATATAAATTAATAAAGTCATTTTCGTATCATCTCTATTTTGATTTATATGAAAAACTCGCATGATTTATGATCATTGCAAAAGGGAAAAAACAAACAAAAAAGGAAAAATTGTGTCGAGACCCAAACGTAGGGACTTCATGTGACCATGCCCCTTGTATTTTGGCTTATGTGATTTAGCCCCAAAAAATACCATTTAATATTTCAAGACCCCTCCACGTCAGCAGTACAAAGAAAATATTATATTTTAGAAGAAAAAACCCGAAATTACCCCTCCACTTATCTTCCCCTGACGCCTGGTCCCCAAAAACATGAAAAGTCGCGTCCATTAATGCGATCTGACGAAAAAATAAAGGGAAATTTTCCGTTTTTTTTAAAACTCTATCATGAGCAATAACTCATGTTAGTTCTAAGTTATTTAATGTTAGTTCTAAGTTATTTAATGTTAGTTCTAACTTATTTTCTGTTAGTTATAATTCATGTTAAAACTAACTTTAAGTAGAACTAACATAAATAGTTTAGGCTACTTGGTCTAGTTGTAAAGCTTGAGAATTTGGAGAGGAGGTCAGGAGTTCAAACCCCCTGCAGCTACAATATATATTTGAAGATCTTTGATTGAGCCTTGGGGCTCTTATGTTAGTTCTAACTCATCGCTTGTTAGTTGTAGTTCTAATTTATGTTAGTTCTACGCTCTTTGGCTCTTATGTTAGTTCTAACCCACGGCATGTTAGTTTTAACTCACGACATGTTAGTTCTAACCCACCGCATGTTAGTTCTAACTCATCGCACGTTAGTTCTAGTTCTAATTCATGTTAGTTCTAGGCTCTTGGACTCTTATGTTAGTTCTAACCCACGACATGTTAGTTCTAACTCAGGGCTTGTTAGTTCTAATTCTAATTCATGTTAGTTCTAGGCTCTTTGGCTCTTATGTTAGTTCTAACCCACGACATGTTAGTTCTAACTCACCGCTTGTTAGTTCTAGTTCTAATTCATGTTAGTTGTAGGCTCTTGGGCTCTTATGATAGTTCTAACCCACGGTATGCTAGTTCTAACCCACGACATGTTAGTTCTAACTTACCACTTGTTAGTTCTAGTTGTAATTCATATTAGTTCTAGGCTCTTGGGTTTTTATGTTAGTTCTAACACACAACATGTTAGTTCTAACTCATCGCTTGTTAGTTCTAGTTCTAATTCATGTTAGTTCTAGGCTATTAGGCTCTTATGTTAGTTCTAACCCACTGCATGTTAGAACTAACACGATATCCATTAGAACTAACACGAAATCCACTAGAACTAACACAAATATTAGAACTAACATGATAACCATTAAAACTAACACGAAAATAATTTATTCTTTTTAAATATAATAAATATTATACATAGCATAAATTTTGACCGAGGAGTTTACGCACCTAGGTATAATTGTTACAACCAACGTCAATTTAACACCTCCTAAATTTTCCACATTTTTCCATCCAAACATCTCCCACAATTTTTACATACAGACCAATAAACTAAAACCAAAAACATCCGAAAACCCCCAAACCCCCAACTACTGCCAGCGATTGTCGTTCTTTTTTTCGGTCTCGCCATTCTACTGTCTGCCTTTGCATTTTCATAAGGGTTTGAGTGGTTTCCTCCGTGCTGCCAACCCCAGATGAACCGTATTTGTCCTTCAGCTCGCCACGATGAACGAATTTGTAATCGTTAACGGATTCTGCTTCGCGGACGATATTTTTCCGACGAAAAACCTAGCACTGTTGAAATACGACGAGAAAATTAAAATTTTGAGAGTTTCAGTGGCTCCTAAGCGGTGGAAGAGAGAGAGAGTTTGCTCCTAAGCGGTGGAAGAGAGAGAGAGAGAGAGAGAGAGAGAGAGAGAGAGAGAGAGAGGAGAGAAAGAGGGTACTTGAATAGGGAGGGAGCGCAGTAACCGAGTTCAGTCCCATCAAAGGGGTAAGTTCGTTACTTCCACTAGGCTTTTCTTGAAAAGCGATACTTTGGAGCCTCGTCACAAATACTGTGTGTATTTGGGGCTTATTCATATGAGGCAAAATAAAAGGGGTCTCGTCACATGAAGTTTTAGTTTTTGGGGCATGGACACATTTTTCCCAACAAAAAAATATCCATGGATTTTGTTGCTAAAAAGGGAAAGAAAACACATCACACGTGCACCGCGCGTGACAAAAGCTGGTGCCAGCCGAAAGAAGAGAAAAGGGCAAAACGGGAAGCGTACGAAGAAAGCGAGATGGACCTAAAAAAGGTGACGTAAAAAGCTTGTGTGCGTAGCGGAATCTGAGAAAAAGGAAACAGAAGAAGGAAAGTTAAAAAAATAAAAGGGATTAGTTTATAATTTTTAATTAGAGTTTTCGTATTTAAAGGGGGTGTTTGGTTCAATTTCTAGAAATTATAGGAAATGTTTTCCACCTAAAATATGATTTCCTTGTATTTCTTAAAAAAATTATAGGAAAAGTTTTGAGAAATAAAAAAGTACCAATTTTCTTGTTTTTTGTACTTTGCTTGTTTGGTTCAAAACAAGAAAATAGCTCATAACTTTATAGAAAATAACAAGATTTGGTAGGTTTTTAATTAAATATGGTATGTGTCAGATTTCTGGTGATTTTCTTTTATTTTGAGAGGAAATTGCTTTTTGTAAAATTTGGTAGGTTTTGATATTTTATAGAAAATATTTCTGTAAATTTTTTGTTGAACCAAACACAATTTATAGAAATCTCTAGAAAACTTTTAATTACAAATTTGCCATTGTCAGATGTTTTGAGAAAAATTTTTTTAAAAAGTGTGCAACCAAACAGCCCCAAAGACAAAAGATTAATCTCCACTCTCAGCAGCCCTCGAAGTGCATTTGTCCCCTCACCTGTCTCATCCCCATCTCCCCTCAACCAAGTCTCTATACAAAAAAGAGAGAAAAGGGGGAAAAAAAGCGAACCCACCAATTTTTTTTTCCCATCATGTCTTCTCCTAGCAAGCGTCGTGAGATGGATTTGATGAAACTGTAATTTTTCTCGATTTCCCTTGCGTTGGTTTTTGATTTGGCTGACTAAATTTGTAATTGTTTTTCTTATTTTGGGGGGTATTTTTGATGTAGGATGATGAGTGATTACAAGGTGGAGATGATAAATGATGGGATGCAGGAGTTCTATGTAGATTTCCATGGGCCTAATGACAGTAAATTATCCTTACCCATCTCTTTGTTTGTTGGTTAAAATTTCTTAATTTTTTGAGGGTTTTCAAGGAGTTAGCAAATGGGTTTTTGCTAGCGTGTAATTTTTCTATCTGGGTATGTTTTTGATTGTTTAAGATCTGGTTTTGATTATTTTTGAACTTGATTTTGTAACTTTATGGGGATTTTGTCTGGGTAATCCCCCGAATAGATTGCTCAAAGTTGATCCTTTTCTTTGATGTTATTGAGAGGTCGATCTTATTCCGCGAGTTCTTCTAGTTCTTTTATTTGCTTCATTATGATAAAGATAATACTTAGCAATTTGATGGATGCTTTGTTTGATCATTCATTGATCTAATAACTGTTTTTGTATGGGTTTACATTATAGTGTTTGCTTTTTGCGTGATTTCATATCTATGGATGCATTATTTTTATCTTCATTTGGATTGAGGCAGGTCTTTATCAGGGAGGAGTGTGGAGGATCAGAGTGGAATTGCCCGATGCTTATCCTTATAAATCTCCATCCATTGGTTTTACTAACAAGATTTATCATCCGAATGTCGATGAAATGTGAGTAAATATAGTGTTTAGGGGTGATATGTTACTTTATGATATTTTATCGGATAATATTCTTAGCAAGTTGGATTTTTGTGTAGCTTGCTAGTTTATGATAGCGTTATTTGATCTATTCTCAGGTCTGGTTCTGTTTGTTTGGACGTCATTAATCAAACATGGAGCCCCATGTTCGGTAAATGGCTATCACTGTGTTTCATGATTTTGTATATGAATGTTTCTGGCTAAGTTTGATGCCTATTATGGGACTTGTAAACTGTTGCATATTTTCTTTGTAGATCTTGTTAATGTATTTGAAGTTTTCCTACCTCAACTTCTTCTGTACCCAAACCCCTCGGATCCCTTGAATGGGGAGGCTGCAGCTTTGATGATGCGTGATAAACCTGCCTATGAACAAAAAGTGAAAGGTGAGACTTGAGAGATTCATTGCCTCTTCTCATGTGCTTAGCATTTCATATCTACTCTTTAATTTAATTATTTGACACTGAATTTGTCTTTAGTTTTATAGCAGAGAATGATTTCTTAGTTGGAAGGATGGAATTAGCTCAATTTTGATAGCTAATCCTAATCATTGGTAAATCTGCAGTATTAAAAAATTTACCCAAAATTTGAAGTGTTAGTTTAGGTTAGAAAGTATGAGTCTAAACTATGAACACAATGAGGATGTTAAACAATGCGGTTAGGTAACAAGGAAGCATGGAAGCTACACCTTTTTTGTGTCTAGCATGAGTTGCACATGGAATAGAGATGTGCAATGCTACTCCAGTGAAGAGAAAGAAAGCAGCTAGGTACTTGGAGAGTAGTCAGCATGGAAGTAATACTTTGTTGAACTTATGTGATTCTTTAAATATCTTTAAGCCAGGCAAATGAAGAGCAAATATCCTGATATCCGAGCCAATATACAGCTGTCTCAATCTCTAGTTTGTATATACTAACTAACAAGTTCTTCTGCAACAAGCTCACAAAGGCTTTACATTTTGGGGTCAAAGATTTGTTAACCTTCTCTTTCCTTGAAATCTGTCAAACAAGCTTTCAATGTTCACTAGTTATCAGGTGTGATATATAGGATACTTCCAATTCAATGTGATATTTTGTTAGTTATCAAATTATCGTAACCTGTTATGCTTTTGAAAGAGAATAAGTTGCTTTAATTATTCAAGAATTCCACCCTTCTGTCACTTTTATCTTATTCCTTCCTTCTATCTTTTGTTTTCTTTTTTAAGTAAAATCGCTGCACCATCTCATGCTGCCCCCTTCTTAGGATTTGATCCCTGGAACTATCCTCTTTTACTCCTTTATTCTCCCATACTTTGACCAGTTAAGTTCATCTCAGTTTCATTTCTGACACCACCTTATCTGATTAATTTTTTTACATTTTGACATATATACGCAAGTGCCTCAACGTTTATCCATACATATAAATATTTGAAAATTTCTATTGTCTCAAGGCACTCTTACTATGCTACTGGTGGTTCCATAAAGTTACAGTTGCTATGCTTAAAAGTTAATTGAATAAGTACGATACCACAACATACAAGTTTTACAAATAAGCTCACCAGCCATGATATTGAGGCCAGTATAAATATGGTGCTAATGTGTGCCTTGAAATAGGAGGTTAAAGTCATATATCCTGTAGGTATTATCACAACCCAGCACTTGCTTGGCAACGAGCCTTAATACATGCAGGGATGGACAATCACCACAAGCACGGACTACTTGCAAGGCTGTACACATTACTTATGCATGATACACACGCAATATTAACATGCCATAAATCCAAATTTAATTGTGTATAATATTTGTCAAATAAAAAATGCATAAGCTATTGCAAAACACTCAAATTCCCATGCATTAATCATTATATATCGAAAAATTATTATGAACTCCAAACTTCAAAGTAATATTTCTTCTCTGAACTTCTTTGTAAGGGTGTATTATGTCCATGATATTTACCATAATGAAAAAAACTACAAAGAATCATTTCTGGTAATCATATAAGAAGAATCATTTCTGGTATTCATACAAGTTCATTTACTATGGTATATGTACAACAAAATTTATCATCATCTCCATGAATGCTTTAAGTCAAGCAACTCTCAACAATAACTCAAGTTGGGAGCTTACCTCTATAGGCTCCAGTGCTCCACTTCATATGGATCCTTCTCCACGAAATCCGTATCCAACCCCTTAGAGTCAGGGAGTGGAGTATTATGTCCATTGCTTATATTGCCCACTACCTCTTATCAGTGAAGCATGGTTCTGGTAACTCACCGATGAAGTCTCCTTGGGCATTAGCTCTTTACCTCATCACGCATACGGCATATCATGGGGGTGTCTGTTGGCATGATAAAAGTAAGAAAATGACTTGCTTTTAACATTTTATGTGTTTGTTGGCATGCAAGTTATGAAAGTGAGATTTAAGAAACTTACCACATAGGATATAATACTATTTTGACTTACGCTAAATAAGTGGTGAAGTCATATGAAAGTGACAAAATTGGAAATCACTTTTAATTAAATGATTATAACTATATTTATTAACTAATTCTATTTTGCCACATCATCTTCACATTTCTCTTTCAGCAATAATTTTGTTTTTCAAACAAACACTGTATTTCACTTTCGTGCTAATGTCGATGTGAAACCAGGGGTGTCCATCTGGCCCGACCTGGGAAATCGGGCTCGGGCCGGGCAAAACCAAAGCCCGGACCCGAACTGGGTCCGGGCTCCCAGTCGGAGCGGGCCGGGCTCCGGGCCGGCCCGGTTTTTTTCCCATTTTTTATTTTTTTTAAAAAAACAATAAATTATAAAATATACATAAAAATTACAGAAAATAACATAATTTTTTTAATAACTTGAAATGACATAAATTATAAGTACAAAAAATTATAAAAATAAAAGATGATATAAATAATTTCTTTATTAATAATTAGTAAATCCTTTACAATTATAAATTTATTTTAAAATTCATCGCATCACAATAGATGAGTAAATTCCAACTAGGTTGGCACCTACTCATCCATATCACTATCATTTGTAACTTTTTTTAAAACAATTCATTACAAATTTAAAGCTAAGAAATAAAAATTATAATCTGATGAATATTATCTAATCTTTATATCTATCTGCTAGTCCTAACTCTTCAAATTTATCTTCAATTATAGCAATCCGATTGATGCCTTGTGTTCGTTTCTCGTACCTCCACCAATCTTGTAAGCACATCACCGTTTGTACAGTATACGGATCTAAGCATGTCCTGTGGTCGTCGATCAAACGTCCTGCTGGGCTGAAGACGGATTCCGAAGCTACCATCGAAACCTGCACTGATAGTAAGTCACGAACCATGGTGGAAAGTATAGGATATGTAACTGATCCATATACTCCACCATTGAAAAATATCTAAAACATTTCCTTGATATTTAACTAAGGAAGCAGAAAAATATTCATCTAATTCAGAAACCTCTAGTCCTGAACCAATTTCAGATCCACCAGTTTCAGCTACCATTGGATACCTATCAAAACTTATATTTTTACCTCGATCTGTGCTCGAAGCCGAAGACGTTGAAGATGTAGACTGTTGTGCAGCTACACCATGTCTAGCTGCATACTCATCATATAATATTTAAAAATAATTTTTAATAGATAAATGATGAGAAGTAGCAGTAAGGGTAGAACCATCATCTAAGTTTATAATCTGTCCACCATACAATGACTATAACAAACTTCGAAGACCAATATCCTTCAAACATGGATCAATAAGAACCCCCAAACCAAAAATATGAGGAATAGGCCTAAAATACTTATTAAATTTGCTTTCCATTTGAAAAATTATATTTTCAAAAATATCATTCATACGATATTTGGCAATTTTTTTTGAATATTTAAAATTTATAAAGTAGCTAAAATGATAGTTGGATAATAACCAGATAATAACATAGTAGCATCATAAATAACTTATAACATCTCATTTAATTTACATATAATTGTCCATTCATCTTCACTTATTCCATAAGTGCTACCAGAGCCAGAACTAGAAGCATAAAAAATTTATAAAATCATTTATAATTTTTTTATATTATATTGCTATACTTAACATTATATATGTGGAATTCCACCTATGGTCAATATCTTTTGGAATTAGTCTAGGTTTATAATTTTTTCTTTTACAACATTGTTTTTATCTTTTAATTCTCATTTCAGAAGCATTATGCATATTAGCAACTGTTCTAACCTTTTCTATCATGGGTTTAATTTTAGAAAATACACTTTGAACAGTTAAATTTAAAATATGACAGATACATCTAACATGTAAAGGTCACCATGACATAGTAATGACAGAGTTGTTTTAATAAAATCAATAACTACATTGTTATTACTTGCATTATCTAGTGAAAGAGAAAATATTCTTTGATCAATTTCTAGTTTCATAAGTTCTTTAATTATTAAATTTATAATATTAATACCAGTGTGTGACTCTTCAATTGTAATAAAAGAAACAACTCTTTTAAATATTTGCCAATTTTCATCAATCCAGTGTGCTGTGATACATAAATAATCAGTTTGTACTCTAGATGTCCAAATATCAGAAGTTAAAGAAAATTTATAGTTTAAATTTTTAAAATAAGAAATTATTTTTCCTTGTTCCTCCTAATAATATTTTAAAATATCACGTTGACAAGTTCGACGAGAAAATTTTGTAAATGTAGGATAAAAACCATCTCTAAATAAATCTTCAAATTCATCATCTTCTACTAATTTAAAAGGCAGGTTTTTAAGAACAATAAACCTGATTACGCATTTCATAGCTCGGGTAGCGTCATAATTCCAACTGCCGAGGGTACCAGAAGAGGAGGATTGAGAAATCATAGACTGTCGGATATCACCTTGAAGATTCTGGCATTTGATGTGTTTTTCTATATGGCGTTTGAGATGGTTGGTGTCGCTCTTATGATGAGCTTGGAAAACCTGGCCGCATAACGCACATTTTGCCTTCTGGGAGATGATCCTATCGTGTTCATCATTGGTGACGTCTATCTTAAAAAATTTTTACATATCGGATCTCGGCCTTTTAGGAGCTCTTGGTGTAGTAAATTCGTTGTCACCAGATTCAGGATTAACACCGGTAGGAGTTGTAGGACTCATTTCTGGATCGGTAGGAGATAGGTGTTGCTCTTCATAATCAGATCCAAAAACCATTTGATAGAAGTATTAGAAAATATAAGAGATTATAAGAATACAATATTGTATAAGAGAGTATTAGAGAGAAGTAAAAGAGTTTTGGTGTGAGGAGAAGTAAAAACCCCCTCTATTTATAGAGGCAACTCCCTAGACAAATGACCAAAAAACCCTCATATTCTAGCCGTTTTTTGACCGTTTTAAGGGGCAAATCGGTCAAATGGCCAACTAT